AATCTCCAGAAGATGGAAGAGATGTTTGCAGTGTCAGTTCTCTTACAGCGGGGCGCCAGAATGCAAAGGCCACCTGTGGGAGAGCAGGTGACTCCTCAGGCCATGGGTCTTCATGGAAGGTTTTCTCGACGGGCTCAGAACAGATATGGATTCTAGACACTGGCTTAAAACCCAAGTCCCAGGCCATCAACTCTGGTCATTTCAGAAGTATGTGCAAAGCTGTGTTCTCCTATAAACACATGCAAACTTCCATCTACCTTAGTGACCACAATGAAGTCGTCTTGGTGTCAGGGCTGAAATCACACAGAGCACACTGAGAGTGGCCTCCATATGAAATAAACCTTGGGAGGGCAAGACTTGGAATTTGTTTTGTCCTTTGAGTTATTCACTGCTTTTTTTTTTTTTTTTTGGAGAGGGTAGGTGATCTGGTCATGGCATTCTTTCTTGGATAATTCATACACATTTATTTCAGAACATTTGATGACAGGTGCTTCAGGAAGAACAAAAGGACACCACGGTTCATGCCTCTCTTGTATGCAAATAATTTGTGAAGGAAATTCACTCAGAAAGCCAAACCAGATTGCCCACAAATGTTCAATAGGAATTTAGTTGATCACTTTATGAGTTTCTTTAATTTAGAAAACCTTTATAACTGATAGCTCAACTGTCTTAACAGTATGTTAACAGTATGTCTTTTGCATTAAAATATCTTACATAGCTGTTGCAAGAAACTTTGTGATTACACGCCAGTGTTTTCTTTCTCGGTTGGGTGTGACTTGTGACTTGGTAAGTGTGTTTATTGTCAGGTGTGTTCTTTACTGTTTGGCCTGTTACAGTTCTTCTTTGTTTTTGCAAGTAAACGGGTCGTAACTAAATGAGTAAATGCTCATGTGCCCACCGTGCTGCTTCTGCCCCACTGGCTCATCGGGTTAGAGACCCCATAACAGTGGCCAACACAAATTGCCATTTGCCAGGCACTCCTGTGTTGGAAAGGGCCATGTTGTATGCCTCTGAGGAAGAGAGGCACAGAGTTTCAATAACTTGGCCAAAGTCACATAGCTGGTGAGAAGCTTGGCTAAGACTCACACTCAGGCTACCTGGCTCTAGCGAGTGTGGAGGTCAAAGGTGTGGGCTTCAGTGCTCACCTAACTTATGACCATGGACAAGTTACCTGACTTCTCTGAGCCTCAGTTTCTTAATCCGTGAAGTGGGTATCAGCCCTGCCTCACTGCTTCCAGTAGATGATGGCTAGGAGTACTCGGTGTGGAACCCCGAGTTCCTGAGAAGCACTCAGGACTCATGCCTATTGCACTCCTGTGCAAGATTGCAGAATGCACCACTGCCTCGAGTCTCTTCTGGCCTCTTCTGCTGGGGGAGGAGCAGGAAAGATGGCTGGAAGAGACTGTGGGTGCCATCTGTCAGCAGTGCCCTCCTCACCCTCCGTAGCACCATGTGAACACCTCCTGTGGAACTCTAAGGGGACATTTTCCACAACAGCCTGCTCCCGCCTATGGGTAGAGCACAGACTCTCAACTGTGTGGAGCTGGAGGGAAATGAATGGACGGAAGAGCCCAAGTTGGTAGAACTTGGTGTAGGGTTAGAGTGAAGCAAGAGGAGGGGTATTGAGGGTGACTTCAGCCTCTCAGCTTGTGTGGAGACAAGCTTGTGTGGTTGAGGCTGCTCAACCACAGAACCAGGCCCGGTGAAAGAAATTCATGAATGGTTTAGGGAACTAACTTGGAATTGCCTTTTGAGGGTTATAATGGGAGATGTCACGAAGGTAAGGGGAGGCATACTGGCAAGAGATAAAACCATCTGTGTGTGTGGGTCATCTGCAGGTTCATTTGCATACAGGAGGTCATTTGCATACAGGAGGTCATCTGCATATAGGCTCATCTCCATGTAGGACGTCATTAGAATGTAGGAGTCATTTGCATGTAGAAGTAGGTCATTTGCATGTAAGGCCCCCTGCATGCAGGGAGCCTTCTGCATGTGGGTTGTAACCACAGTTGAGGACAAACTGTCATGGCGGTGGAGTGTGAGGAGACCAAGCTGAGCACTGGGGAGCACTAGTGATGTGGATGGGAAGAAGAGGCTGCATCTGCAGTCAGGTCTAAGATAGGTGGCTGGGTGTTGGGGGGCCATTAAAGGCTTTCACAGTGGGAGGAGCCCTGTGTTGATTGCTACCTGCCTCCATCCTACAGGATGTCCACCATTATCTCACCCAGGTGACTATGGGGTGGTCTTTAGGGACTTGGATTGGGTGTGGTGGTGGGTGGGGTGTACTGGGAGCTACTCCCTAGGGTGCACGGTGGGGGCTGGGGGCACATGCACTGACTGCTCCTTGGGGTCAGAGGTGCTCTCCAGGACTTGCAGCCACCTCCTGGGCCTTGGTTCCCCAGTGCTTTCACCTCTCTCTGTCCCCTGGAGAAAAACACCTCATAGCCGTGAGTGGTCCCCAGATGTTCCTTCCCCTTCATGGCAGACCTCCTCCCTCACGCTCGCAAACCTCCCTGGTGCCATACTCTGGGAGAAGAGCATGTGTTGTTGCTGCAGCTGGGCATGCCCAGTTCCATGTGGCATGCCCACACGCCATGTACACCAAAACTCAAGAATTGCCCTGCCTCAGGAACCCCAGTTGGGTAATTCCCAAAGGGCCCAGGAACTATAGCATGCACAGATGGTTGGAGTGGAATCTAGCTGAATCTGCAGCAGTGAGGATGAGTGAACACTCAAGGTAATGTGGATGAGTTAGAGAAGCCAGGTGCAGAAGAAAATACACCTCGTTCCTGTGCGGTGGGTTGAAGACAGGCTGAAGCATGCTATGGTTTGGGAAGTCGAGGAGGGGTGGGTGGCTGGCTATGTTCTGCTGTTTTTCTGGGTGGGGTTCTTATGTGAGGTTCCCTCTGTGACAGTTCAGTGACTGGCACACCTGTGGTTCATGCACACACTAAGCATGTAATAACGCAATTAGAAGTTCTGTATCAGAAGTGGAGAAACTTCCTTGCTGGGCTGTCCACATGGCTGCAGAGACACACGGTGACTAAGGTCTGTCTCTGGTTTGGGTGGGACCTGTGTTGGAAACCTAGCTCTGTGACCCTGGGTGTGCCCCTTGACACCTGCAGGTCTCCAGTGCTGTGCCAATGCCATGCTGTGTTCCCTCCGAAGGCGACATGGGGGTGGAATGAACTAGCAGGTGGCAGGGACTGGCCCAGGCTCTTTGCCTTCCCTCCTACCATGGGGCACTTCCCCAGGCTCACATGACTCCCAGTGGACTGCCCTTCCTAGCAGCTGCCAGAAGGAACCCTCCCTCCCACTTCTCCATCAACAAATGAGAGGGACAGGTGGCACCTGTGGCCCTCCTTTCCTCTGCAGGCCAGAGAGTGCTCCTTGTGGGGTGAGGAGCCGTGCGGGGCAGAGCAGTCACTGGGAAGCACACAGGTAGTTTCTGGAAGTCCTTCCCTCCAGTCAGCTCTCCATGAGTAACTTGGGGTTCCAGCAGCTACAGTCAGAGGTCACCTTCCCCAGACTGTCCCAAGGCCCAGCCTCTTTGTCCAGCCAGAGCTCCTGGCCTCAGGGCCTTTCTCTGCTCTTTCTGCCCAGTAGGGAGCAGCCCAAAGAGTACTAACTTCTCAGTGCTCCCTGCCTCCCCAATATCTTTCCCAGCTGTTACTAAGGTTGCTACCCTTAGAAAGATGAGATCTATCTGTAGGAAGGGCCTTTGGGATGTTAGTGGTAGGAGCCTCTTCCCTCAGTGGTGTTTCTGTCCTGCTTCCTTCCTGGAGCTGCACAGCCTGAGAGCTTTCAGGACTCCTAAATTGGAAGTATGCTAGCCTACGTCTCCTTTCTTCTGGCCATACTGGCTCTCCTCTTTCCTGTCACTCAGGTCCCCCCACCCACCACAGGCAGACGGATGGAGCTCTGTCTTCAGGAGAGGAGAGGTCCTGCAGATGCTAGGGCCAGCTGGAGCTGGTCATCCTGCCTCTGCCAGCACTTAATGACTTTCAGTGTTGTGCTTCAGTAGGCATGGCAGCCCAGGGCCATCGTGGAAACCCTGTCCTTGGGTTTATCTCCACCCTAGTATCACCTGTGAGACGGACATGCTGTCTAGTCTCACATCACCACCAGGAGAAGGCAGAAAGCTGGGATCCTTTTCCTTATTTTGGCCTGATGTCATTTTTGGAAGCCCCTAGGCTTTGTCCTTCACCTCTTTTCCGGCTGTTAGTCTGAGGGTGTGATTGTAAACCTTGGCTACCTTTTGGAAATACGTGGGGTGCTTTGAAAAAGTGCAGGCTTCCAGACCCCTCCCCAGAGCTGTTGATTCATTCACATGGGTCAGGATGGGGTAAGAACAGCATGGTGCCAGAGCCCCCTGTGGGCTTCTCTTCCCAGCTTCGTGTTCAGGATCCTTGAAGTCTGCCAAGATGGCAACATTTACACCATGGAAAATGTCAGACTCTACAGATCAGGTCTCAGTCAGAGCTGATAGTTATATTTACCACTGTGAGCCGGGGCATGCTTATTTTCAAAAAGTGTTCACAGTGATTCTTAAGTTCAGCCAAGGCTGAGAACCACTGGCCTAAGCTGTCCCAGGATTGGCGAAGCCAGGTGCATGTCACCAGTGATAGTTACCATTATCAAACCCTAATAGATGATAAGCCACTTGTGTGAATTAACTCCTCACCCTCACGACGTTCCCTGAAGAGCAATTATTATCCTCATTTTTTAGATAGTGAGACCCAGGTCATTGCAGGTTGCCTGGTACCTTGTCCAGGGCCACACTGCTAGTTGGCGGCTGAGCCCCAGCTAGTTGGATACTTAGTTGCTCAAGATGACCGTGGGGTTTGCAGGGTGTCAATGTGGGATGGGCAGTTGCCACCAGGGGTTGCTTTGTACTGATCTTCACCCAGCTCAGGCCAGGTACTTAGACTCTGTGCCAGGAGAAAGAAACCCAGAGACTAATGGGCTTTTGCTGCTGGTGTGTTTTCTTCCCCTTCCAGTGGAACACGACAAAGAATTCTTCCACCCACGGTACCACCACCGGGAATTCCGGTTTGATCTTTCCAAGATCCCAGAAGGGGAAGCTGTGACTGCAGCAGAATTCCGGATCTATAAGGACTACATCCGGGAACGCTTTGACAACGAGACCTTCAGGATCAGTGTCTACCAGGTGCTACAGGAACACTTGGGCAGGTGGGTGCTGCAGTGGTGCTGGAGGGGGTGGTGCTAAGTTTCCTCCAGCTACAGGGGAAAAAGGGGTGATGGCCACGGATGGGGCAGACAGCAGCAGGACAGTCATGGTGACTTCCATCATGGACCACCAGTTACACAGGCCCTGGATGGGTTGTCATTTCTAAAGAAGGTGTATGATATATGTCACTGTCTTAACCTGTGCCTGACCTAAATGTGGGCAGGCATAGAGGGGCCAGGGAACCTAGTCTATGGCCCTGTGGGGGAGGGTATGGAACATCTGGTTCCTGGCCGTGTACTCAGGGAAGACAGGAGAAGTGGGAGAGTTGGTGCTGACGGTCTCTCTGTCTCCCACGTGCCACTCTGGAACCCTGCGTGATGTCCACCGATCAATGAAAGTGGCTTTTATAGTAAAATATTAGGGGAAAAACCCCAATCCAAAACCAAACAGCCAGAGAACTTGAAGCCTTCCAAGAACCACTACTAGGTCAGGAACCAACAGTTTGTGCTAAGACTTTAATTTCTGGCTCTTGAGAGAGCCAAGAATTCTAAAAACTGGAACACCTGTGAGTAGTACATCTGAACAGCCAGTGTCCTTCTCCATGCTGGGCTTTTGGATTGCTCAGGTCATGGGACTTTTATTGTCCCCTCCTGCCCCAACCCCAAATGCAATGGCATGGTAATTAATGGAAGCTGGTGGCTCTTGTTCTTCAGCTGGGAAGGGGACTCATCACTGCAGACAGGGACTGGAAACTCTCATCTCACTTGCCGAGCACTGCTGTGTTTGGATCATCTTGACTAAGTGGCCTAAAACCACAGTGAGAGGTCACCCAGTAAGAAAGTGGCCACATGAGCATATGGCCCAAGTTTGGGAAGCTGGAGCCCATGCTTACAAAAAGTATTTCTGTTGAAAATTTGGTTTTAGATAGGTATGGCATGGCCATAGATTAAACACTGGTAATTAAGGCTTGTTGCTACTGCCAAGTCCCAGCCTCCTGACCCCAAGGCAGCCTGTGCCCCATTCCATGAGTTGCCTCAGGCAGCAGGTATACCTATACACGGAGCCCACCACACGTTCTTCTGTTGTCACATGGTCAGTCCTTCCCCGTCCTTGTGCTTTCAGTCCTCACTAGGTCCCATCATGTGGGTTGTGTGGTGGGCTATCTCACGGTTACTTACAAGTGTGTGGTGGACTTTCTGTTCTGTTAGTATGGACAGTGTCTCAGGGGGGCTTGTGTGACATGTCTGTGCCTCTCAACCCTTTTTGCTCTAGTCATTTTTCAGATGGGGTCTCACTTTGATTGGACAAGCCTCAGACTGTCATCCTCCTGCCTCTGCCTCCCATGTAGATGGGATTACATGCATGCTTCTCCATGCCTGGCTCTGCACTTGGTTCTTGACGGATGCAACCCCTGTGCTGCTCTTTGTTTGAGGGACATCTCCACCAATCCCTTCCATACCTGCTCTGTCTCACAAGTGGGGAGGGGCTGGAGGCTCAGTGACCTACAAGCCGTCCTGTTCTGCCGTCATGGAGGTCGAAGCTACTACCTTTACAGAGACGATGTGATGTTCTCTGCAGTTCTTTTACTAACCCCTGCTGAGCATCCGTGCTGCAGGCTCTGTTCTTGGAGAACAGAGAATTTACTCATAGTAAAGATGAGAGAATTTACTCATAGTAAAGCACCCAACTGTCACCTTAAAACAATAGGACTTTATTCTCCCAGAGTTCTGGAGACAGGAAGCCCAGAATCAAGGTGTCAGTAGGGCCCTGCCCCTTTTGACGCCCTAAAGGATGTAGGGGGTGTTGATTGTTGGTGCTTTCTGGCTTTGAGTCTAGAACCAAGATGAGCCTGGTAATTCCCAGGTGGAGTAATTTAGCTCTTCCGAACCTGGATTGGAACCCTGCCATCTGGCGTACTGTGGTCCTGGAAGTAGTAACCTCAGAGCCTCTGTTTTCTGCTCTATAAATGGGGATAATAATTGAATCTCTCTCCCAGGGCTGTGAGGAGGATGAAGGGAGTCAAGGTTCTGAGAACAGTGTCTGACACATAGCAAGTGCTCAATAAAGTTTTACTAAGCCTCATCCTCTCCTACCACCCGTCATTGCCAGACATAGCTGTCCTTCATAGGAGAAGGGATAGCTTAAGCTTGGACCTCATTACGGTCTTCTCTGTGTCTTCGCAGTACCATATCCCTCAATTTTGCAGTCTCCGATGGCGACAGAGGTTTGAGCTGGAAAAACGCTCCTTGGATCCTGTGCGTCCAGCAGCTCTCTATGCAGAGGCCAAGTGCTCTTTGGCTTGTTCCCAGTGGGGACATGCATCTTCTTCCAGCCAAAGGCCTCCTGCCTGTCTGGGTCCCACCAAGGAGCCCAGATTCTGCCTTCATAAGCCCTGGCTGTGCAGCCACCCTGGTGTCCGTGCTAAGGGAGCTGTGCTCTTGTTGTCACCCTCGCCCAGCTGCGTAGGGCTGGGACATCTGGCTCTCTGGCAGGCTCTGCCCGAGCTCTGGGGAAGCTCGGGGGTGCCGGAGATTAGCAGCTGCGGGTTGGCCTCAGTATCTCTCCCCATGTGAGAGTCACTTTTGAGTCCTCTTGATCTCTTGGAATCCAGATTAAATTCCGATAATGAGCCGAGCTGGAGGCCTTCCATGGCCCTGGGGCGCTGCTTCAAGCTTGGCCCCAGACAGCTGGAAAGGAGTGCAGGAGCCGCCCTTGGTGGGCTGTGGGCCAGTGGGGGCTCAGAGGCGGGTCTGGGGATGGTGGCCCTGGTTCTAGAGGCCTTGTGGGGAGGGTGGGGTGGCAAAGGGACCAGAGTCAGCCTCGTTTTCTAAACTCTGGACAGCAAGCTGGACCAGCTGGGGCCTGGTCTCCAGGAGTTGGCTTTGCTTCTGTCCCTGTTGGAGCAGGTTGTTTGGGGCAGAGGTCTGGTTGGCTTACCTCTTCCACATGTGAAACTGGAACTGGATGCTCCACCACCATCCCCCACCCCTCCAACCCCAGTGTGTCCCAGGCTTGCTCCCTGTGCTTGTGCCTTGAGAGCCCCAGCGAGGCTAGGCCCTGTCACCACCAAGGTCGAGATGATGACAGCAGCTGGATGAAAAATGTCCCCCAGTCCATCTCAGGGACTTTGGCTGCCAGGAGAGTGACCTCAGAGTGTCTCCAGTGCCAAGATCAGGATCAGCTGCAGCCTGAGTCACTCTGAGGCTGAAGGGGCTGGTCCCTGTCTGTCCCCCACAGGGGCGAGGTCAGCAGAGGAGGCCGAGGTGCAGCTCACGGCCCGCATCAGCCCATGTGCATGCTCCTGTTCCCGTGCCACCCTGGGTGGGGAGTGCTCTGTAGTGCAGCCTGGCCAGCGACTTGCCCAGGCTGTCTTGCCTGGCTTCTGCTCCCCACTTGGAAGAGGTGCTGAGGGTCTCACCTCCAGGAGCACACACCTGCTTGCGGCTTTCCCTGTGCCTCTGGAGAAGGAGATGTCACATAGAGCTTCCCCATTCCCCTAGTAGGTCCACTGCACTTCTCCAGCCAGATGGGGAGCAGGTGAGGCTTCGGCCTCTGATCTGGCGCTCCGAGGGCCGGCACAGCTGTGTCCCAGGGACACGGTGGTGACTTTGGTGCTCTGCGCAAGAAGGTTTGTGGAAATGGATGCAGGAAGAACACTGTAGTCCCTGCAACCCAGGATGGCCTCAAGCCCTGGGCAGATGGGTCTCAGGGCCTCATTCCATCCAGTCATTTTCTGGGGACTTGAGGTGGCAGTTGTGTCATGCATAGTAGGTTCTGGGCAGGAGTGGAGCTGACTTTAGCCACATGAGCACATTTGAGCAGAGGGACAGGGACCCATTCCCGAGCACATCCCACCCCTGCAGTCTGGGTTTCTCCTTTTGTGGCGCTTACCACTTGTGACTGGGTGGTGGACACTCCACCTCCGTTATGTGTCTTGGAAGTGACCTGTGAAAACGTGTCCCGTTTTTACAGACCCCGAGACTGGCTGAGAGCCGGGAGGTCGCACAGCTGGGGAGTGGCAGCAGTGGGACCGAACATGGGTCTCTCAGATGCCAGCTCTCACAGGCCTTGCTGCGGCAGTGCCATGGTGCCTCCTGTTCGTCCCCCTCTCCCAGTGGGCCCAACATGGCCAGGATGAGCTCTAGCTGTGGTTTTCACTGTGACAGGGCACTGGAGCCAGTTAAAGCTCCTAGTAACACAGGGTGGACCCGAGCGTTGGTATTTTGCAGAAGCTTCCAGGTGGTGCCTGCACGTGGGGCTGGGAGCAGATGGTGTCTGTCGCCTGTGAGAGAGTCTCTGGCCCCGCCTGGTGCCTTCCACTCATTCTCTTGGAGACTTCTCCTTCCTACAGGATGGAGCCCAGATTGTGGTCCAGACCATGTCTGTCATTCTCAATGGCATAGGAAAGGGACTGGCTGAGGGTGGAGATCCCTTCGGGCTCTGGCTCTGGAAGCTTCCGGAAGCTTCTGGAACCTTCGTACTGCTCCTGCAGGCCTACGTGCCTGGTTCCACGTCTCCTGGCTTCTGCCCCTTGCCACTACACCTCAGCCCCAGGGCGTGAGCTCTAGTTTCGAGCTGCCTTCTCAGGAGGAGCCAGGTCAGCTCCCAGGAGCCTCTCCAGACAGCAGAGGGGAGCGGCTGACGGCCACATCACCAGCATGTCCTGGAAGGTCAGAGGAGAGGCGCGAGTAGCCTTGGTCAAGGCCACCTTGGCAGCCCTCCTGCCGCCACTTTCTCTGGGCCCCTCTCCAGCTCCGTGCTGCATAGTTCAAGTGACGGTCCTTGGGACCTCGTATCTGCCCTTGTGGCCCTCTCACTGGTTTGCAGGGATTGTTCTGGAAAAAGCCTGAATTCAAGGCCGCCCAGCCAGGCAGGATGGCAAGCCACTGTGTCCAATCCAGTTAGTGCTGCTAGCGCAGCCAGCAGGCCCCACTCAACATCCCGGGGCCAAACGCCCGCTGGCTTCCTGTCCTGTGGTCTGAGGCCATCTGGTGGGCCTTGG